ACAGAAAAATTTTCAAGTTACAAATCAAGCGTCATTTGTAATTAAACGGCCAACAATAACGCAAAACGTACTAAAATAAAACATCTGGAAAATATATTTCTCTTTCTAAAACGCTGATTATTTTTTAAAAAATTTTAAGCAGTTTCGTAGAAAATGTACTTAAGCGGCAGAAAAGCGATACTGGCGTGGGTGCCTACAGGCCTCTACCACACCATTCAGTACACATAAATGGCTTAGTTATAGTGATATAATAACATTGTTGGTACATTATATTGGTTTTATTAACGAACAAATATTAATGCAATAATTTAATCTTAAAAAAAAAAATTAAATTTTTTAAAAAAAATTATAATATTTTTTTAAAAATTTAATCTCCTTTATTCTATAAGTAGGTCGTTTAAGAAGACCTCAATTATAAAAATGATGTAGCGTTGGTTGACCGTTGATATGATATGAGAAGGAATTAGTCGAGGGTGCGGTCAAAAAAATAAAAAAAAATTAAAATATATAAATAATTTTAATTTTTGCCGACGTTTCGACCCACTTTGCAGGTCGTCTTCAGGGCGTTGGATGTGGCACTGTGGGAGGCGGTTGAAACACTGTGTGTGTTTGAAACACTGTGTGAGTGTTTCAACCGCCTCCCACAGTGCCACATCCAACGCACTGAAGACGACCTGCAAAGTGGGTCGAAACGTCGGCAAAAATTAAAATTATTTATATATTTTAATTTTTTTTTATTTTTTTGACCGCACCCTCGACTAATTCCTTCTCAAATTATAAAAATTATATAATGATAATAATAAAAATTAATTAAAAAATACTTTGCTAATTATCTTGATTTTTTTTTTATTTAACGTTTGCAATTTAACACCGTGTTTTGTATATTTACTGATTCTTAGAGGTAATTAAAATTTGTATATACTTCCCAGGAAATGAGTCATATTAATACCTGTTTTATAAACTAAAATAATATTTACCTAATCTGAACTATATATATTAATAGCTACCGGGATGTTTAGTAAAATTCATATATCCCTAATTAAAAAATTAATTTTTATTTCCTTTATTTTGTGCGAAAGTTGGACTATATCATAAATAAATAGGAAATTTTAATATTGAATGAATTATTCTCTCTGCACAAAGAAAGATAGAAAGGGTGGCGCTATAAGTTCTTCTATAAACCAGAACTGATTGTTTGTTTTTGGTATCAAAATGAGGAAAAACGCGAAATTGAACTAGAAAATTGAAAAAGCACAGTAGGCGAACGAGAAAGGAAGTGCCAAAACCTCGGAAAAGATAAAAAGGACTCGTATCCATTATATAGCTAAATGAATGTTAAGTAGACAGATGAACAGAATTTTTCAAGATGCAGCTAAAACGGGGTCAATTGCAGTTTGGATGATATTAAGTGGACGATTATGTTTATTATGGTGAAAAACAACTTTATTTTCGATTGCTGAAGGTGCACATCGGGAATATCTTCACTTTGAAGCAGGATATAGAGAGGTATATCGAGAAAGTTATAGCTCATAGCTCGCCTTCTGTTTAGGGCATTTGTAAAAGATTTTTTAAGGAATCTTATATTAGTTATAGCTCGTTATTGTTCAGAAATTGCGGAATGAATTATTCCGATAATAACGAGCTATAACTAATATAAGATTCCTTAAAAAATCTTTTACAAATGCCCTAAACAGAAGGTGAGCTATGAGCTATAACTTTCTCGATATACCTCTCTATATCCTGCTTCAAAGTGAAGATATTCCCGATGTGCACCTTCAGCAATCGAAAATAAAGTTGTTTTTCACCATAATAAACATAATCGTCCACTTAATATCATCCAAACTGCAATTTGACCCCGTTTTAGCTGCATCTTGAAAAATTCTGTTCATCTGTCTACTTAACATTCATTTAGCTATATAATGGATACGAGTCCTTTTTATCTTTTCCGAGGTTTTGGCACTTCCTTTCTCGTTCGCTTACTGTACTTTTTCAATTTTCTGGTTCAATTTCGCGTTTTTCCTCATTTTGATACCAAAAACCAACAATCAGTTCTGGTTTATAGAAGAACTTATAGCGCCACCCTTTCTATCTTTCTTTGTGCAGAGAGAATAATTCATTCAATATTAAAATTTCCTATTTATTTATGATATAGTCCAACTTTCGCACAAAATAAAGGAAATAAAAATTAATTTTTTAATTAGGGATATATGAATTTTACTAAACAACCCGGTAGCTATTTATATACATAGTTCAGATTAGGTAAATATTATTTTAGTTTATAAAACAGGTATTAATATGACTCATTTCCTGGGAAGTATATACAAATTTTAATTACCTCTAAGAATCAGTAAATATACAAAACACGGTGTTAAATTGCAAACGTTAAATAAAAAAAACTCAAGATAATTAGCAAAGTATTTTTTAATTAATTTTTATTATTATCATTATATCATTTTTATAATTGAGGTCTTCTTAAACGACCTACTTATAGAATAAAGGAGATTAAATTTTTAAAAAAATATAATTTTTTTTAAAAAATTTAATTTTTTTTTTTACGATTAAATTATTGCATTAATATTTGTTCGTTAATAAAACCAATATAATGTACCAACAATGTTATTATATCACTATAACCAAGCCATTTATGAGTACTGAATGATGTGGTAGAGGCCTGTAGGCACCCACGGCAGTACCGCTTTTCTGCCGCTTAAGTACATTTTCTACGGAACTGCTTAAAATTTTTTAAAAAATAATCAGCGTTTTAGAAAGAGAAATATATTCTCCAGATGTTTTATTTCAGTACGTTTTGCGTTATTGTTGGCCGTTTAATTACAAACGACGCTTGATTTGTAACTTGAAAATTTTTTTGTAAAAAAAATTGACTTTACTGGTGTTTTTCGTAGCCTACGCCAACTATTTTTTAATATTTCTTCATGTTTTATTATTCTATGACTATTCAGTTATAATAAATTAAGCCTTATAGCCAACTATAAGGAAATTAAGCCAAATGCTGATTCTCAGTGACCAAAAAACTAACTAAAGTCAAAGTCGTCAATCCGCCATCTTTGGACGCCATTTTGGGGCAGTGCGTTCACTTTTTTTTGTGGGAACATTGGCTTTTTTTTAATAAATTGTTACAAGGAACACAACGATATGCAATTTATAGGGATGTGGGGGAGGTGCACGGTAAGGGGGTCTGGCCCACAGACTATTCCACCTACCGACAAATCACTGTGGATGACGACTAAACGGCTCCTGAAATTTAAAGACTTTATTAATCATCCACTTCTTACTGAAGCTCAAACTTGGTCCAAATCTGATGAAGAAAAATCCCAAATTTTTGCTCATCACCTCTTCAAAATGTTTAATCCACATCCTGATATCCTTAATCCAAATCAGCTTGATTATATTAAAACAGAACTTGATATTCCAATCCAAATGACTCCTCCTCCTAAAGCATTTCATCCTTCAGAAATATCCAATATTTATAAATGTAAGTAAGGAATATTCTATTCCTTACTTACATTTATAACGCCGTACTCCGTTCCACATATTTTCCTTAACCTTGGAAACTATCTGTAGTCAAGATGATACAAAAATCCACCAGAATACCCATCCTCATACCGTCCTATCTCTCTTTTACCAATCATGGGCAAAATCCTGGAGAAGCTCATCTTAAAACGCCTGTATCCCATCCTAGATTCTAACCACATAATCCTTGATCACCAATTTGGATTCCGCACATCTTATTCCACTATCCAGCAATGTCAGACGTTCTATCCTCTGCATTGTAGCGCGGAATGTATTGCACTGGAGTTTTTCTCGACGTTGAACAGGCGTTTAATCGAGTCAGGCATCCGGGATTGCTTTAAAAACTCCGTAAATTCATTCCCCCTACATATTTTCTTATCATCAGTTCCTGTCTTACTGATAGACACTTCAAAATAAATTACCTACTCATCCATCTTTTCTCAATCTGCCGGAGTTCCTCAAGGTAGTATCCTTGGTCCTATCCTTTACACAGTTTATACAGTTGTTATCCCAACCCATCCTAACACTGTCATCACTACGTATGCTGATGACACATGTATCCTGAATATACATGTATCCAAACTCTCTAATCACACATCACAAGTCTTGAAGAATGGTGTCAAAACTGGATTATTTAAATAAATTCCAATAAATCCCATCAAATCACTTTTACCCTTCGTCGTAAACCAATGACTTGCTTTCCTATAGTATCCTTTAATAACACCCCACTTATCCCTGTAGAACAAATCCGATACTTAGGACTCCAGCTGGACAAACGTCTCACTTGGAATCCTTATACAAGACTGAAACGACAAGAAACTGCTCGACGTTTCCGCTTACTCCAACACTTACTGGACAAACGCTTCCAATTAATTACAAACGACTCATATACATGACTACAATAAGACCTATTTGGACTTATGGAGTTGAGCTATGGGGCTCCACTAAACCATCAAATTCCTCTCGTATCCAATCTTTACAATCCAAAATCCTTTTTAAAATCTTCAATGCTCCTTACTTTGTCACAAACAAAATAATCCATAAAGACCTCAATGTTCTAAATGTTTCCGATTTGGCCAAATCCAGATACCTATCCTTCCATAATAAACATCATAACCATCCGAATCCTCTGGTTTCTAACATTGCTTCCTCTTCGATTCCTGATAACCCCCCGAGGCGTCTGAAAAGAAGATGGCCTCCTCATGTAGACAAATTATTAGAGTGTTACCATTTGATAGTTTTTCAACAAGCGTGTTTCATGTGATTATATTCCTCTGTACAAATTTACTTGATGTATTCATACTAATACAGTTGTAAATATCATAATAAGAGTTAAAAAAAAATCAGGAAAACTCTCTCTCTCTCTCTCTCTCTCTCTCTCTCTATATATATATATATATATATATATATATATATATATATATATATATATATATATATATATATATATATATTAATTTCTGAGATAGGTTGGCAATGACGTAGCTATCATAACCACTCTCAGTATGATGGCAGATTTGGACTTCAACAATGAAGAAGTACCCTACGGGATAGTGGACTGCGGGGGCTTGGAAACACTTATGAATCTTGCCGTTATTAACTCCATCACGATGCAGGTATTCTTAAATCACATTATTAAAAGTTGGTTCATATGACATTAATTACAACGCAATGAAGAATTTAATTTTATTTAATGTTATTAAAATATATATATGGGGAGCGGGGTAGCTCAGTGAGTGAGTACTGACTTCCAGTGCTCAAGGTCCTGGGTTCGAATCAGGCTACTGACTAGTAATTTTTCCTTAGCCGTGGATCGACCCTGGGGTCGGGAGACCCTCCTGGAATATATACAGCCTCTATGAAGTAGGTACCCGTAATTAAAAAAAATAATTAAGGGGGCAAAAATGTCGGTTGAAGGTGATATCGGGCCCATCACCTCTCAGCATAACCGTTAGCCTTGAAACAGTACTTCCTCACATAGTACTGCACCCAAGACCCTTCATGGGTTGTTGTAGTACATTTTTATATATGTGTGTGTGTGTGTGTGTGTGTGTTCATGTAAGTATGATGTGTAGTTTTCACATCATACTTACTTCAACATTTATAAAAAAAAATAATTTAGAAACAATTTAATGTCATACGAAAACTTTTGTGAAATCTATCATTCTGATCGATCAATCTATCAATGATGAGTAAATAACTCAATGAAATTTTCAAATGTCTTCAATTTTCAAAGGCTTGGGGCTTGATTAACTTAATGTTTAATCATCAGCTTGTAATTATTTAATTACAATGATTGACTTACAATAGGGCGTTTCCAAGGCAGAAAATAATTTTCGAATATTGTAGTATTATAATAATAAATAATGTTGAGTTATATTTTATGCCATACACTTGCTTTCTTGCAGTTTTATAAAAAATGAATTTGCATAATGTCGACGTTAAATAAAAATCTGTAATAATGTAAAATAAACAAAGAAAATATTGTATTTTTTTTATTTAAAAATCAAAAAAAATAACTTGTTTTTATCAAACAAATTTCACTATCGAATTTATCTATTTTACATATACCCTCTTACAAATTGGTCTTCTCAAGAAAAAACATTTATAATGGCAATTGCTTTCTTAAGCAAAAGGGTCATAAGTTGAGGTATGGTCCCTATGAACAGAATGCACCATATGAATCCAACTTATTAATAACAGAGATGTATCTAGATTGATCCTCAATTCAGTTTTTGTCTTTAATTTTATGTCCTTAATTGTGACAGATTTTAATAATTCTGAATAAATAAGATTAATCTAAAAAAAAATATAATATTTTCTTTTTGATCGGTTTTAAAAACAAAAGAACATTTTTTAGCTTTAGTAACATCTTTTCTGAATAAATGAGTGTCGATATATCGTCGGTTTATTGCAAAAAGCCATTAAATACCTTTTTTATTTATATTAACTACCAGGGATCTGTACCAGGTAACTTATTTATCGATAGAAAAACGTGTTATTTTATCGTGATAAGTGTTTAAAAATTACAAAAATCCTTTTATTTATTATAAACAGTTACACTATGTGCATAAAGTTCTGATTTCGTAAAGAAAAACTTTATCAGAGTTCTTAGTGATTTAAGGTTATTAAATGTTACTTAATGATGTTTTGCAATAAACCCAGGATACGTACATTACAAGAACGTTAATTCGCACTCTGTGTAGATATGTCCATGTTCTTCCAGCTAGGCTCGCTTCAGCTCCTCAACAGGATCGCTGACCACCCCGTCATCAAAAGAACAATGGTGAACCAGGGAGTCCCTCACATGTGTTTTAAGCTGCTTCCGCACTATGAATACGATGTGGTCATAATCTGTTCTGAAATCTTGCTAAAGGTCAGTGATCTCAAGTGCTTCAGGCCTGTGGTTAGGGGCACAGAAGGTCTCGAAGTTATGGTAAGATCCGACCTCTATTTCTATCAGGCTAAGTATTATACTAAATTCTTATGGACATGCTTAATCCATAACATAATATATATATATATATATATATATATATATATATATATATATATATATATATTATATATATATTAAATATTATATATATTAACTCACACATAGCTCACTTTTAATGCCTAACGAATTGAGGATAGAAAAAAAATTTATTTAATTTTCACACAACCCACAAGGTATAGCAATATGGGTAGTAGTGGGATGTATTTATAATACACATGTATTTACACATTCACAAATAAAATAGCACACATGTCATTATGACAACATAATGCTGCAAGTATATCAAGAGCTATACACAGAGCTAACACTTATTTTTCAGTTATACCACCGCGTTCTTCTGACCATCTTCTATCATATAGCCTCGAAAAACACTACATTCTCTCCTTCTCAAAGAAAAGTGATTTGGGCCTACAATTTTCTTTCATCTCCTCACGAAGTCCTTTATTAGTAGTATGTTTCCTTAGTTATGAGCTGAACGAAATCGACCTCCTTCAGCAGTTAAACCTTCAACGCCTCGTAGATGGTGTAAGCAACGATGGTTTGCAACGGGATCTCTGGTACTACACAGACAAATGGATTAAATGTTCATTTCATGTTTAACAAATTTCATTCGGGTTTCCGTGGCCAGTGAGTAGTTAATATACACAGATGGGGCGGGATGGCCGAATGAGATAAAGCGTGTGCACAGCACCGCGAGTTGCCAGGCAACCAGATAACCGAAGTTTTGAGATTTGAGAAAAAAAGGTACTAGTTCGCATGCCGGTGCCGGAGGAGATTTTAAATTCCCCGCCCCCACCTCCTGGCTCGGGAAAATCCCGTATAGCCTAAAAGGAGCGCTAGGGAAGAAAAAAAATAAGTTATTATACACAGGAATATGGTTGGACTCGTGCCACTGATAAATGCGAATAAATGATGCAAAATTAGAAGTGATATATACAATAATTTGTAAGAGCTATTGTAGATAATTTGTCAGAGCTGATTTGATTTGATAATAATCCTCATAAAAATATGCAATATTTTCTTAAATTGTACAAAATATATAATTTCTAAAAAAACTTTATTTATCTCCTCGCTCTTTTATGAAAATTATTGTTCTAATTTAACTCTTTTTTTTGTAGAATTTTTTTATTATTTTCGTCCTAATCAAATCAAACACGTAATTATTTTGCCTCAGCTGGGAACGATTTGTTAACTTATATAATTTATTAACTCGGCTAGCGACTCATCAAAAATGGTGATGAACATTTAAATAAAATAAGATATTTAAATTAGGGTCTCTGAACTTTCGATGGAAACAATAAATAAACGTACCAAATACTTTTTATTTCGAAACGTTTTTTTTTAAATTTATTTAGAACTGTGCCAATTGAGAGTCGTAAATCCGTGGAAACGTTTTCCAATTTAATACCACAGCTGGGTCCTATCGACTGGCAACCGTTTAAGTTACTTTAAGCCCAGGGTTGTATTGTAAAAGAACAACTACTCATATATTATTTATTTTTATTTTTTTTTGTTATAACCTCAACGGTAAGTTATTGAAACTGACCACTGGTTCGGTTCCGACTATACATTTCACATGCTATAAGGTATTTGGAATTTTCGCAAGGAGACGGAAACATTCGGTTGATCGTGGACGCTGGTCACATTACTATCTTTCTTAAACGTAGGTATAAATTCATGTCGTAGCTGTGTTAATACTTCGATTGTGACAAATCATTCCTAGGCTTGAGGAATCGTTTTTGTATTTTAATCATTTTTTTTTAACATATCCTTGATTTGGCCCGAGCCAAATACCTGTCCTTTCATAATAAACTCCAGTCCCATCCGAATCCATTTGTTTCCCGCCTTGCGTCTCCCTCGATTCCTGATAATCCCCCTAGGCATCTGAAGATAAAGAAGATGGCCTCGTCTTACCTAGAATTAAATATGGAGTGCAACCACTGGGTAGTATCTCTTCAAGTCTGTTCATGTCATTTTTTCTCTAATGTGTGCATATTTACTGGTTGTATTTTTATACAGTTGTAAATTTCATTAAATAAACCAAAAAAAAAAAACACATAAAAGTAGTAAGAAACTGTTCGTTTGGTACAAATTGTAGTATAAGGAGTACTGATTTTATTTCGTACAATATCTAGCGTTTATACAATATATTACTTTTTAATTGGTTTTATGATATGATTAAATTATATATATATATATATATATATATATATATATATATATATATATATATATATATATATATATATATATTTATATATATTTCAAAGTGACGAAACACCTTTTTTTTTACCACTGAAACAAAAAATAATTAGTAGCGATTTTTATACGAAATACACAAGTTATCTAAATCAGTCATGTGAGATATTTAGAAAACTGTAATTCTGTGATTAAAAACGCTGTATATTATTACACAATGGTTTATTATTCTTAAATAATTCTATATGAAGGTGTGAATGTGTTTTATTTATTTTATCATAATTCAGTTTCAATCGGTTCCTTTATTTATCTTGTATATTCTTATATCAATTATCTTTATTTAATTGATTTTATTCGTTTCTTTTTTTTTATTAATTATATTTATTTTTCTTTCGTATGATTATATTACGTGAATGAATACTGTAGTCCTAGTACCAATGCCCTTCCCCTTCATGGCAGACTGTATTAATACTCAATCAAATCATTACATAAATAAATTCTATATCAAATATGTGTGTATCATGTCATGCAGCTTTTCTCACCACTTCGGAACAAATTTAGTATGAAAGGTGTTTGCTGAAATTGGGCTGTATGAGAAGTTTTTTATTAAGAAATATAGACAATGATCTGGATTATGCCCCAAAAGTGGTAGCAGACTTTAAGGCCTACGAAAAAGTTCATATAAAAAATGGGTCAAGTCTCAGCAGAAAATTAGGAAATCCAAGTTTAGTCTCTTTTTAGGTAAGTCATGCTTTTTGATGTATGACTAAGAAGCGATCACTAAAGAAACATTTAATTTAAGTAATTGAAAATTGTTTCATTGTAATTAGATAAAATTTCCTTCATGTAAAAATAGAGCTTGCCGTTGTTAAAACCACTTGAAAAGAACTTTTAGGCGTCTAAACTTGGCTAAATACGGTTTTTTTTAAAAAATCATAAATTATTCGCGATTTTTTGTTTCATCATTATGCAACTGTAATAAAGACACCCCACTTTCAGAAAAACTTTATCCTTTGATTCAATTCCATGTTAATAGCATTAAGGTTTATCCATCAAATTTTTGAGATTCACATCAAGTTGAGTAAAGCAATGTGATTTTTCATCTTGTCACCTAAATGTACCTATGTTTTCTATAAAATTGACTACAATTAACTGCTGTAAAGCGGTTATTTCTTTCTTCTGTTCATTTTTCCTAAAATTGGTGTCTTAAGGTTTTATTTTTTACATAAATTAGCCCAATTATCACCAACATTTTATTGAAAAGCTTTTAATTACGACGACGAAAATTGTAATATCATTATTGGTTAACATTTAACAATTACAAAAATAATTTCTTATTAGACATAATTAACTTGTCTAACGATCAATGTCATATTATTTTCGATACACATAAATGTATTCAAATCTATACAATAAAAGTATATACTTTTTCTTATAAAAAACTTTATATCTACGTAACTTTAAAACATTAAACCTTACATTAAAAATAATTGAATATTACCTTGATGAGTCCTCCGTTATATATTCATTATTAATGTCGCAATAATTTGTTCAGTGAACATTAAATTGTCCTGCTACTTAGGGGTTTCGCTTAAGTCATTTCTGGAGAGACTGACTTATATCGTCCAGGTGGGGATAGTCAAAGGGAGAGGGGTTTTCCTTCTATTGTTTTGCATTAATGGACTATTTTATGTAATTTATGATTTTTATATTGCTCTTTAATGAATTATTGTATTATATGCGAATATTGTTAATTACATTTGCGTAAAAAGTATTTATACTGTCCACATCTGTTTGGTTGTTAACGGAAGTCTTTAAATTTGTAGTAATATATATTGACTCAATAATGTTTCTTTTATTGTTACTGTTTTCCTTATATATTATTTTGGCATTTTTAAAATTGCCCTGACTCGGACGATATAGACGATGAACCATGTTTACAAAACCGTCCACTAATGACTCCTAACAATCAAACCAAACTTTCAACTGAAACTGAAATTATAAAAACCAACACGGTTAATCAAAATAGTGAGTTACCTACTAACAGAATTACAGAAAAAGAAATTCCCACAACGTTAATTGAAAAAAATAACAATAGCAACAATATTAAGCCAATAGAAAGTATAAAGGGCTCATCGGCAACAATGAAAACCACTAAAGGAAAAAACACTCTACAAAACATTACTACAGACAAAAAGACCATTCTTAATACACCAGAGAAAAAAATAACTGATTTAAATAAAAAGGAAAAAATAATTGAAGAAAAAAATAACTTACAGCAAAAAACAAAACCGACCACAAAAGATATACTAGAACCCATCCGTGACTTATTAATGAAAAACAATTACCCTCTTCAATTTAAAGAAATTTGTCTATTATACGAAACAATTCAGATAGAAAAATTGTCATCAAACACACCTGATTTGATAAAACAATTCACAAAGGATAAAGAAGGGTTAATTAGGATGCTAACAGACATTAAGGGATTCGTAGATCATAGAGGTATAAAAATATGGTCAACAAAAATTTTGAAACTACTGAATGGAAATGACGTCACCGAGATCACACCAGGTGAGAAATTTTCGAAGATATCAACCGGCAACAGTCTTTAAAAAAGAAAAACTCAAACATGGTAAAAACGATTCAATGGAATTGTAATGGTTACTACCGACACATCGAGTACTTTAGAAAACTAATGACTGAAGAAAACCCTATTTGTTTTTGCTTACAAGAAACAC